TTTCTGCCGACGGTCGGCCGTCAGTTAGTGTGCAGAGGGCTTTACAGTTGATCCCCCGTTTCCCCCCTTTACCCGTACATTAGGGACACCCTGAGGTGAACAGATTGCTGCGTCGACTGCACTGCACTGATGTGGCACTGCACTGGATTGAAATCAAACCCATTGTCTCTGTGTCTGTTGCAGGTATGACAGCAGCAGCCTCCCTTGTCTCTTTGGCCTGGGCCCTGGCCTCCTACCAGAAGGCCCTGCGAGAGTCCCGCGATGACAAGAAGCCCATCAGCTACCTGGCCGTCATCATACAGTTCTGCTGGCACTTCTTCACAATTGCAGCGAGGGTCATCACCTTCGCCCTGTTTGCCTCTGTGTTCCAACTCTACTTTGGCATCTTCATTGTCCTGCATTGGTGCATCATGACCTTCTGGATTGTCCACTGTGAGACAGACTTCTGCATCAGCAAGTGGGAGGAGATTGTGTTCGACATGGTGGTGGGCATTATCTACATCTTTTCCTGGTTCAACGTCAAGGAGGGACGGACAAGGTGAGGATGCTCAACTCCATTTCAGTGGCTTGATTTTTTAAATAAATTCTATAAATCTTTATTATTCTGTAATTTTTCATTTTCAAGACAGCCGATTGCTTGAAGTTCAGAAGGACCAGCGTGTAGGATTTAGTGGCATCTAGCGCTGAAGTTGCAGATTGCAACCAAATACCGCTTGCCTTCCAGGCATGTAGGAGACACTTGATGGCCACGAAAAACATGAAAGGCCCTACCTAGAGTCAGTTTTTGGTTTGTCCGTTCTGAACTACCTACTACATGGCAGTTCGTCATGGTCGTTCCCTCTGTTGATAAAAAGAGCTAATTCTAAGGTAACGAAAACACAGTAATACACATTTACCTATCCTGCTACTACTGAAGAACACTGCTTCATGTTTTGGTAATTGATTTGGTTTCACTCTATCTGATTTATTTCTTCTCATCATGTCTTTCATTCAGGTGTCGGCTTTTCATCTATTACCTAGTGATCCTGGTGGAGAATGCGGCTCTCAGTGCGTTGTGGTACCTCTACCGGTCTCCTCACACCACCGACGCCTTTGCAGTACCAGCACTCTGTGTCATCTTCAGCAGTTTCCTTACCGGCGTGGTTTTCATGCTTATGTACTATGCCTTTTTCCACCCCAACGGGCCACGCTTTGGACGCTCGCCGAGTGGCCAGGGTCTTGACCTGGATCCCACTGCTCAGTTCTCCACATTACCATCAGAAGGTGCCACCAACTCACTGCGTTCCAACCGAGGTGCCACCGCAACCCTGGAGCGTGACACGGGGAAGTATTCCGAGCGAGACGGCTGCATGCCAGTGTTTCAGGTCCGACCCACAGTGCCATCCACGCCATCGTCTCGTGCTCCACGCATTGAAGAGACCGTCATCAAGATCGACCTTTGCAGGAACCGCTACCCAGCGTGGGAGCGCCATGTCCTCGACCGTAGTATACGCAAGGCAATCCTGGCCATAGACTGCTCCCTGACTCCTCCACGGCTGCAGTACAAAGATGACGCTCTGGTGCAGGAGAGGTTGGAATATGAGACAACATTATAGTTCTAGCCTGCTCCTAAAACCAATACAGGGTGCAGTCGTGGGAGGATTATCCTGCTATCACATAAACAGCAACAGGGACTGTGGCAATAAGAATTTGTTACTACCAACAATCTTACTTTTCACCTCTAGTTCCTCTTTTTCTTTTTCTGTTTTTCGGCATCAGCGCCCAGTTGGTAGTTATCAGAGGAGCCATTTGACACAAGTGCAGTAGATGTCGCTGGACGTGTAGGGTTGTTGCTGTTATTTTTACTTCCTATCATCAGGGAAATCCTGTGTGGTACAAACAAAATGCAAAAGTCATCGGATACTCCAGTTCAACCTAAGTGACACCTCTAACGTGATGAGGAAAGGAAATGACCCCTCATTCAGCAACAGTAGAAACTTCAAGCTGTCGTATTTGTCTTAATGTGTTTGGAAGTGTCTACATGATAACACTCATCGCTCCTGTTCTCTTAGTGCCAAAAAGGTTCCTTGGATACGTCCTCTAGCTTCTGAGGAGTCGAACACCTTAGAGATGGCTTGGTAGTCCAAAAAGTTCTTCTTTTCTCTTCTGGCTTAGTCATTCAATTGCTCTTGAATAATTCTGGTGTACACTGCAAGAAGGTGAGACAGAAAGGGAACTATACAAAGACAGTGGTCAAAGTAGCATCTATACTCATTGTGTTTTGTTTGGATGCAATCAACCAAACCTGGCTGTAAGGATGAATAGGGAGCAAGACAGGGTGAAAGCTGGACACCAGCTCCACAACCTTTCTACCCATAAGGAAATAAGTCAAACTCACACAATGCCAAGAAAAAATCTTCCTGGCAGCTCAACTCAACTATTTGCAGTCCAGCCTCATAAACCTATGTAGTAGTGATACTGATCTTTGCTTATCTCTGGAGGAGAATGTGAAAGAAACGAGCAAAGCACCAGACAGCAATGAAAATCAGAGGACAGGAGAGGACGGCGCAGGACATGGAGTAGGGGATGGAGAAAAAGAGTGAAGGTAGACAAGCAGCCATCTCAGCCAAACTAAACCAACCACCAGGATGTACAGTACTCTGATACAACATGCAGCATTTTTTACTTTAGAGATGATGTAGAGGGTACTGAAGTCATTGTAATTCTGTGTTTTTTGTGGTTATGTGTGTATGTATTGGTAATAGGTGATGCCTGATTCGGGTCTGTGCTGTCATCGATCAGTGAAAGTACACCTTGACATTTTGATATTTGAGTCTGCTTGTTCTCTGATAAACACACCTTCTGGTGTTTTTGTCCTCCAGCTAACTCAGCAACAGCTTTTAACATTGTTGCACCACACAACACACGTTAGTTGGCACCATGCTCACTTCAATTAGATGATTTTTAAAAACTAAAGTGCCACAATGAAACCTTGATCGAGGACTGTCATACCACATATTATGATTTGGAAAGGGTAACTGATGAAATACAAATTTTAAGTGAGAGGCTTCTAATAAAAGTTAAACAAAAAAAATAGCAATTGCAAGTATGGGTAACAGATATGGGTCCCTTTCAGTGATATTCTGATACTGATACCGGTATCTGATACTCCCTAAAATGTGGTATCGGTGAGTACGCGTCTGTGCACCGATCCGATACCACAAAATGTATTGGCCCCAACCCAGGACTATGTTACCTCACAGCAGTGTCCATTTTTTGCTAGGATAGTAAAGTCATGACAGGCTCAGTAGTGTATGTTTGTTAAAAAATAATAATATACTGTATCTATTTTTTAACACACATGTATCAGACAGGTACTTGGTATCAACAGATAACCAAAGTTCAGGTTTCAATCAGTATTTGGAAGTGAAAAATGGCATCAGAACATCTCTAGTCCCTTTCATTAAACTCAATACCAGCCTTATAAAATCAAGGATATCAAGGATGGCAGAATGTTTCTTCCTCGCTTTCAGATGGGAGCGGCTCGGCAGCAGCAAAGTCAGTGCTGTGAGGATACTTATCCTTGAGTGTTCCTGTACCAGCATTCACCAGAAGAATTTGCCTTGTTAGTTAATGTGACAAAAGGAAAGAAATAAGGGGAACAGGGATCAGAGTGAGGTGGACTTAACCTAATGACAACGATCTACTTTGATAGCTTGTCTCTCAGTCACAGCACTGCCCTAGTTTGCTCATCATTCTCGGTTTTCTTTTTATTATTATTTCTCCCACTTTCACACCTGATGTCAGTGTCCAATGATAAATATCAAACAGTAAAAGACAGCCAGCAAATGGGTTACAATGATTCCCGACTGTGAACATCCCCTGGACTAACCCTAACCCTGGACCGGTTCAGTTGAGTTCAGCCGGATTAGTTGTCACGTTCTAATCATATTTAGAATGGGTTAATCAATTGTAGCATGTGTTCCCACCATTAGAAGTCACTAAGAAGATTGCCTGTCATCCAGTTAGTTTTCAACATTCTTCCTTTAATGTTCATAAATTGCATAAACGCCTGGGTAACTGGAATGTCCAGGTTCCACCGGATCAAAATGAGCAGTGTGGTATGGAGGTCCTTGATCAGACCCAGATAGTACCTGATGATGAAATAGGATTAAGGGTCTAAAGCTCTTAAACAACACATCATAAATAACATACTGACAATTTAGTGATTCTCAGAGCCGACCAGTGCTAAAAATGGAAGGTTTGCCCTAATGGTGGTGTGGGAGGAAAAAAAAAGTTAGTCAAGGCACATTTTTAACTGAATGGTGGATTTAAAGCAAGAGTCAGGGTGTTGCCAAAGTTATCTTCAAGGGTCCATGAATACCCGTACCAGATGTTGTTAAGATACCTGCCTTCTGATTCCAGTATCAGTCACAGTGTTGCTTTAAACATTATATATACGAAATGCACTTGCCACTAGATGTTGCACTAGGGCACCAGCATCTCAGACCAAAACAATAGGCACAACAGCCAACTAGACTCCATGGCGAAACAAGTAATTTTACCTAATCACAAAGACACTTCAAACTGGACAGAAACTAAATTAAACTCACAAATAAGTGTTAGTCTTTCCAACAATTACCAACGCTGGTTTGTTTGAAATAAATGATTAATACGTGCAGTTATATGAGAAAACACTGCAAAAGGGGCTGCCATGTAATGTTAATTAATCCTTCTCCTTGGCGACAACGACAGCGGTCAAATTACGAACAGAAAAGTTCTTGTTTTTGCTGCTGACAGGCTCATATTGTTATTCTAAGAGTCTGACAACATTATGGTCATAATATTGCTGTTGCTCACCGCCAGACTCCAGCCAAACTGGTAATTTTACCTCACATATCATCATAACTTTATTTAGTCTTGGTTGGTTTTTCCACTGTTCCAACAATCACCAACTCTGGTTTGGTGGAAATAAATCCTAAATTCACACACATAGGGACTCTCATGCATTAACAGACAGGTGTGCCTGTTGTAAACAAACCACAGACAGGCTGCGATAACAACAAAGGCAGAGGGAGTGTGACCTCACTTTCTGCTCAGGCCACAATGACTTCACTATATCTTTACATAGCTAATAGTTGTTTGCTGCTATATTCATGTTCTAAATCTCATAACCTTTAACTTACTGTCATGTATAAAAACCAAACCCTCAAACATTGCAGTGCAAAGACACGACTAGACGGAGAGCTTCACCATCTATGCTACATTCCCATCCCAGTTTGGCTTCAAGGAATGCTGAGAAGCCAGAGGCGATGACATCACTACATACTGTCGATGAGCTGTCAGTGAAATACACCATGTTCAGGAATTCCAGCTCTCTCATTTACGACTCAGTGTCAGTCCTATTTAGATGCTAACAGTGTTTATTTTAAAATGTAATTTAAAATGATATCTGCACAAAAGACAGTTCCAGGTCATCTTTCTTGATCTATCACAAGTGCACTGTCTTTTTTTTATTTTTTTTTTATTTTTATTTTTTTAGGATGGCAAGAGGAGAGAAGCACAAAACAAGTCAATGGGATAATCATGGCATGAGACTGTGAACCTGTTCACCCTGCTTAACCAAACCAGCCCTAGGTGTACCAAGCTGTTCTGACCCCAACTGGTCTCATCATTATGTGTATGACATCCAAATTTTGTTGCAGGTCATTACAGTCCAGAACAAAAGTAAATTGATCACTACTTTGGTTACAAATATCTAGCACTAAATGGAGTGAGTAGCCCAATATACACAGACCACACAGTGAACCAGGAGCCTGTGTTTCCATGATCCACTGTCCTGACACATATCTGCATATTCCAGCTTTTGTAGTTCTCCCATGAGATATGCTGGCATATGTTAGTTTTTATAATAACTGTGTTTTGTTGGTTGTGAAAAGTCAAAAATGTAATACTGGTGTATCTTGAATGATTCAGACATATTTCTGTGCTTATGAACAGAACTGCTGTGTTCTGTCAGAGACAGACTTTAAAGAACCATACCAGCAGTTTTGCATGTTTTAGCCACATCATGTTTACTTTACTTCACAGCCAATCATTGTGCAAAGCAGAAATTTGAATGCACTTTTTCTACTGTTCCAAGACGTATGTTTATCCTCCAGTGATGGCCAAAATCCACCGGGCCACCTAGAATAGCAGACAATACTAGAGAATCCACCAGAAGTGTCTCTCTGCTCTGTTATGCGGAGAATACATTGCTGGTCTATTTTTGGAACGACATAGAGAATCCAGTCAAATAAAATACCCTGTGCAGACTCCTGACAGATTTTCATGCTACATTAAAACATTATAAAATTAAAACAATAAACACAATTGAAACAGACAAGCCTTATCCATAAGCACTACTATCTAGGAAGGACAAAATAAGCAAGTCGACAATGTCGGGGAAAGCAAGACGCTCAGAAGACACTTCTGAAATGTTCGGTGGGATTTGAAGACTTGCATCTATATTGATTATGGTCAAAGTTACATATCGTACAAAATCAAAATGGAAACCAAAAATATAAAGTATACATGACGTGTTTTTAGAGAACAAATTTGCAAATGCAGTACTATGGTTCTTTAAATGTGTCACGTGTGTTTTTTATTAGTTTAAAGATGGCTACTTTTATCTTCATTTCAAGTGTCATATTCTTTCAGTTAAGAGCGGCTCATTGAAGTTTGTATAGTTTTGTAGGCTTCTTTATTTGCCTTCCTGCCGCCACACTACTGTGTGTGCAAGTGTGTGTTCTGATCAGTATGTGTAGTGTTTTTTGGTTAATAGCTGCCTTAGCTCTTCTGAAATGTACTTGCCTCATACTTAATTTTATTCTTCCAGATCAAAATCTGTCTACAGGACTTAGGGAGTAGCCTACTAGTGAATATGAGCTGCGTCACTTTGGGGCCAAAGACAAGTTTGTAAAAGGAGTTAAAAGGAAGTGAGCTTACCAGACCTCTGTAGCTGCTCCTCATCTCCGCTGCAGGCTAAACGGGTCTGATTGCACTCTTATGTTTGGCTCATGGTTTACAAGAATTACATTTTTTCTTCTTCTGTACTTTGCATTCTTTTTGGCCAAACGTTTGTGGTGTCAGCAAGCACGCATTACTTGTTTCAATGTAATACTCAGCTGTTTGTTTCATCAAAGTCACTAATGGTCAAATGAATTGAAGAATCTGGCTTGAGTTCAATTGTACTTCTGTACAGCCACTGATTTAACAGTCCCTCCAGGAAGTTGCAATCACAATTAACACAAACTCAATCAGTTCCCATGAATTCTGCACAACCTTGCAATTTTTTCTGATCACTGCAATTTTTCCACAAATTTGACCAATCATTATAGTTTCCTGCAACTTTTACTAATCATATTTCGTTGAGCCATATGCCACCAAACATACGTCCTTATATCTTCCACCAGTTTTGAGTGGAACCATTGTAATTGGATGCATCATCAGCAGAAAATGACATGTAGAATATGACACGCCCACCTTGGTTCTCAAGGAAAACCTGCTGTCTTTTGGTTCCAGTTAGGAACGAACTTACCAAACCAATTTATTTTTGTTCGAAATGCTCCAAACTGTTAAAAAGTTGGTTCATTAACCAGAACAAAGCTGGTTCCCTGTTGGTGGAAAAGACCTATCAAAGGACAGTACAGCAATTAGCAAAGTTACTGGGGGAAAAACGTGGTCAGTAGTTACTGGGTGATCCTGTGAACCAATGATCTATGCGGTCGTCCCTGTCATGTGCGACAGAAATGTCCCACCACTACTGCAATCAGACTCTGCTGGAG